CCTTCAGTACAGTGGCTGGAACAATCCATAACTAACCTTCAGTACAGTGGCTGGAACAATCCATTACTAACCTCCAGTACAGTGGCTGGAACAATCCATAACTAACCTTCAGTACAGTGGCTGGAACAATCCATAACTAACCTTCAGTACAGTGGCTGGAACTATCCATAACTAACCTTCAGTACAATGGCTGGAACAATCCATAACTAACCTTCAGTACAGTGGCTGGAACAATCCATAACTAACCTTCCAGTACAGTGGCTGGAACAATCCATAACTAACCTCCAGTACAGTGGCTGGAACAATCCATAACTAACCTTCAGTACAGTGGCTGGAACAATCCATAACTAACCTTCAGTACAGTGGCTGGAACAATCCATAACTAACCTCCAGTACAGTGGCTGGAACAATCCATAACTAACCTTCAGTACAGTGGCTGGAACAATCCATAACTAACCTTCAGTACAGTGGCTGGAACAATCCATAACTAACCTTCAGTACAGTGGCTGGAACAATCCATAACTAACCTTCAGTACGGTGGCTGGAACAATCCATAACTAACCTTCAGTACGGTGGCTGGAACAATCCATAACTAACCTCCAGTACAGTGGCTGGAACAATCCATAACTAACCTCAGTACGTGGCTGGAACAATCCATAACTAACCTTCAGTACAGTGGCTGGAACAATCCATAACTAACCTCCAGTACAGTGGCTGGAACAATCCATAACTAACCTCCAGTACAGTGGCTGGAACAATCCATAACTAACCTCCAGTACAGTGGCTGGAACAATCCATAACTAACCTCCAGTACAGTGGCTGGAACAATCCATAACTAACCCAGAATGTCTAGTTAGACAATGGATTAAGATGGTCAATACGTCGTTTAAAATTTATTCTCCAAAACATGAGTTAATTGTAATTGTCTGTAGTGTTAGTTAAATATATTAAATGTAGGTAATATTCCAGGGTATTAATTGAACGATTTAAGGGGAGAATAAAATGCTACTCGAGTTGTCAACCGGGATCGAACCCGGGTCCTTCAGATGTGACCCAAAAGCGCTACCACTTAAGCCACTAAGTATTTCATGTAGGCATTAGTATTAATGGGTATTAATGGTTAATGGGGTTTAAAGCCTATCGACTACACTAGGCAAGAAAAATCCCTAAAACTGAAATTAAAAAAATATAAAAATTATTATCATTATTACTATCATTATTACCTCTTATTATTTCTTCTATTATTATTATTTGTATTATTTTTATGATCATAATTATAATTATTTTATTATTATTATTATTACTGTTATTATTATTACTTTTATTATCACTATTATTACTTTATTTTATTATTATTATTATTATTATTATTTTATTTTATTATTATTATTATTATTATTATTATTATTATTATTATTATTATTGGAGTTTGGAAGATGGTAAGGAAAATTCAGAGAAAAAAAAACAAATAAAATACCAATAAATCCACTGGAAATGTGAAAGAAAATGCACAAATTACGATTAAAAATTAAATATTAATAGAATTATAATAAACGAGAATTGTTATCAATAAATAATGAGTTTGATTTGATCCCATTAAAGAAATGTATTCAGACAATAATTTCCACACTGATTTATACAATAATTTGATTTTCCACACTGATTTATACAATAATTTGATTTTCCACACTGATTTATACAATAGATTTCCTTTTTAAGTTATTTATTCTTATTTAGCACTATATCATACAATGCTGTATATCCCTAGTGGGTTTAGCGCTTACTTTTGATTATAATAATAATTGTAATAGTAATCAGTACTATATTATGCTCTTATAAAATCTTCACCACCTGCCTGTGGCACCACGTGCCTGTGGCACCACCTGTCTGTGGCACCACCTGCCTGAGTCTAGCATCATGCTCAGCTACTGTGGCACCACCTGCCTGAGTCTAGCATCATGCTCAGCTACTGTGGCACCACCTGCCTGAGTCTAGCATCATGCTCAGCTACTGTGGCACCACCTGCCTGAGTCTAGCATCATGCTCAGCTACTGTGGCACCACCTGCCTGAGTCTAGCATCATGCTCAGCTACTGTGGCACCACCTGCCTGAGTCTAGCATCATGCTCAGCTACTGTGGCACCACCTGCCTGAGTCTAGCATCATGCTCAGCTACTGTGGCACCACCTGCCTGAGTCTAGCATCATGCTCAGCTACTGTGGAACCACCTGCCTGTGGCACCACCTGCCTGAGTCTAGCATCATGCTCAGCTACTGTGGCACCACCTGCCTGAGTCTAGCATCATGCTCAGCTTCTGTGGCACCACCTGCCTGAGTCTAGCATCATGCTCAGCTACTGTGGCACCACCTGCCTGAGTCTAGCATCATGCTCAGCTTCTGTGGCACCACCTGCCTGAGTCTAGCATCATGCTCAGCTTCTGTGGCACCACCTGCCTGAGTCTAGCATCATGCTCAGCTACTGTGGCACCACCTGCCTGAGTCTAGCATCATGCTCAGCTACTGTGGCACCACCTGCCTGAGTCTAGCATCATGCTCAGCTACTGTGGCACCACCTGCCTGAGTCTAGCATCATGCTCAGCTTCTGTGGCACCACCTGCCTGAGTCTAGCATCATACTCAGCTACTGTGGCACCACCTGCCTGTGGCACCACCTGCCTGAGTCTAGCATCATGCTCAGCTTCTGTGGCACCACCTGCCTGAGTCTAGCATCATGCTCAGCTACTGTGGCACCACCTGCCTGAGTCTAGCATCATGCACAGCTACTGTGGCACCACCTGCCTGAGTCTAGCATCATGCTCAGCTACTGTGGCACCACCTGCCTGAGTCTAGCATCATGCTCAGCTACTGTGGCACCACTGCCTGAGTCTAGCATCATGCTCAGCTACTGTGGCACCACCTGCCTGAGTCTAGCATCATGCTCAGCTACTGTGGCACCACCTGCCTGAGTCTAGCATCATGCTCAGCTACTGTGGCACCACCTGCCTGAGTCTAGCATCATGCTCAGCTACTGTGGCACCACCTGCCTGAGTCTAGCATCATGCTCAGCTACTGTGACAACACCTGCCTGAGTCTAGCGTCATGCTCAGCTACTGTGGCACCACCTGCCTGAGTCTAGCATCATGCTCAGCTACTGTGGCACCACCTGCCTGAGTCTAGCATCATGCTCAGCTACTGTGGCACCACCTGCCTGAGTCTAGCATCATGCTCAGCTACTGTGGCACCACCTGCCTGAGTCTAGCTCATGCTCAGCTATGTGGCACCACCTGGCTGAGTCTAGCATCATGCTCAGCTACTGTGGCACCACCTGCCTGAGTCTAGCATCATGCACAGCTACTGTGGCACCACCTGCCTGAGTCTAGCATCATGCACAGTCTGTGGCACCACCTGCCTGAGTCTAGCATCATGCACAGCTACTGTGGCACCACCTGCCTGAGTCTAGCATCATGCTCAGCTTCTGTGGCACCACCTGCCTGAGTCTAGCATCAGCATCAGCTACTGTGCACCACTTGCCTGAGTCTAGCTTCATGCTCAGCTATGTGGCACACTGCTGAGTCTAGATCATGCTCAGACTACTGTGGCACCACCTGCCTGAGTTCTAGCATCATGTCAGTTCTGTGGCACACCTGCCTGAATCTACTTCATGCTCAGCTACTGTGGCCACCTGCCTGAGTCTAGCATCATGCCAGCTACTGTGGCACCAACTGACTGAAGTCTAGCAATCATGTCAGCTGTGGCACACCTTCCTGAGTCTAGCATCATCTCTAGCTAGTGACACCTGCCTATTCTAGCATCTGCTCAGCTTGTGGCACCACCTGCTGATCTAGCATCATGCTCAGCTACTGTGGCATCACCTGCCTGAGTTAGCATCATGCTCGCTTGTGGCACCACCTGCCTGAGTTCTGCATCATGCTCAGCTGTGACCACCTGCCTGAGTCTAGCATCATGCTCAGCTTGTAGCACCACCTGCCTGAGTCTAGCATATGCACGCTTCTGTGGCACACCTGCTGAGTCTAGCATCATGCTCAGCTTCTGTGGCACCACTGCTGAGTCTAGCATCATGCTCAGCTACTATGGCACCACTGCCTGATTTAGCATCATGCTCAGCTATGTGGCAACACTGCTGAGTCTAGCATCTGCTCAGCTACTGTGGCACCACCTGCCGAGTCTGATCATGCTCAGTACTGTGCACCACCTGCTGAGTCTAGCTCATGCTCGCTTGTGGCACCACCTGCCTGAGTCTAGCATCATGCTCAGCTTGGTGGCACCACTGCCTGATTCTAGCATCATGTCACTTCTGTGGCCAAACCTGCCTGGTCTAGCATCATGCTCAGCTTGTGGCACACCTTCTGAGTCTAGCATCATGCTCAGTTCTGTGGCACCACCTGCCTGATTTAGCATCATGCTTCAGCTTCTGTGGCACACCTGCCTATTCTAGCATCATGCTCAGCTTGTGGCACCACTGCCTGATGTCTAGCATCATGCTGAGCCTTGTGGCACCACCTGCCTGGTCTAGCATCATGCTCGCTTTTGTGGCACCACCTGCCTGATTCTGCATCAATGCTCAGCTTGTGGCACACTGCCTGAGTCTAGCATCATACTCAGCTTGTGGCACCACCTGCCTGAGTCTAGCATCATACTCAGCTTGTGGCACCACCTGCCTGATTCTAGCATCATGCTCAGCTTCTGTGGCACCACCTGCCTGATTCTAGCATCATGCTCAGCTTGTGGCACCACCTGCCTGAGTCTAGCATCATGCTGAGCTTGTGGCACCACCTGCCTGAGTCTAGCATCATACTCAGCTTGTGTCACCACCTTCCTGAGTCTAGCATCATACTCAGCTTGTGGCACCACCTTCCTGAGTCTAGCATCATACTCAGCTTGTGGCACCACATATCATCCAAACAGGATGCTACCCATTCCATTCTAACAAACAATTGAGAAATATTTTTTTGGAAGATACCAGGAGATGAGGAATTCCCAAAAAAGGTTGTCTCTTATATTAAAAAATTCTCTTTTTTTTAACACGTCGGCGGCTTCCCACCGAGGCAGAGTGACCCAAAAGAAAGAAAAAACTTTCATCATTCAACACTTTCACCATCACTCATACATAATCACTGCCTTTGCAGAGGCCCTCAGGTACGACAGTTCAGAAAGTCACTCTCTTGTGGGTATTAATTACTAAAAATCTGTTGACTCCTCTCATTTACAGGTATCTGTAAATAAGCATTTTTTAAATCTATTTTTTGTAAATGTCTCGCATTTACGATGAATCTAGAGATTTATAATTTCAAAATCCTCACATATTCTCATAGACTTAGCGTCAGCATTTAATACGTAAGAACATAAGAAAGAAGGAACATTGCAACAGACCTACTGGCCCATACGAGGAAGGTCCAATTCTCCCACCGGCTTAAGCCATTGCCTTAACCTAGCCAGGTCAGTCAAATTCACTTAAGGGAGGAACACGGCATCTGACCTAGTAAGTACAGATTATTCACTATTGGAAATAGGCTCAATAAACCTTCCCTTACTAGTTTTTTTCTAATTCTGCTTCAATCATTTCTTTATGAAAAAATTATACCAGCCTCGCTTTCACGAACTTAGGGACACCATCACTTTTCACATGAATTGTGGCCACAGTGCTGGAGATTGGCTTACTAGAATTTACCTTAAAATTATCTAACATCTCTTTAACACAGTCGAATTTGTTAATTTTGGTAGATTCATCTAATCCAGCAAGGTAAATCCCTACCTTGTTCATGAGGTCTTTTTCCACATATGTTGTTGTTAGTTGACTTAACTAACCATACCACGGGCGGGGTTAGAACCCGTGGTCAGAGAGTCTCAAAACTCCAGACCGTCGCGTTAGCCACTGGACCAGCTAGCCACAATAAGATTCGTGAGTCATGTTGAATTAACTACACCGGACACTTGTGATACCTCTAAGTTATGATAGAGTTCCGGCAAAACAGCCTCTTCCAAAAAGTTTATTTTCCGATTATCATACACAGTTACCTTCCTAGAACATGATTCAATGTACACTGTCAGTGCCTCGATCCAGTCTTTGGATAAATAACAAAAAGGCACAATACCGTGACTGGAACGATACACAAATAACCCGCACATAAAAGAGAGAAGCTTACGACGACGACGACGACGATGTTGAGATGGAGGCCCCACTCTCAGTCTCAAAAGGAACCTGTTTCTGATTAATTACAAAGCCATATTGTTCAGTCTTCGTGGAAAACGAAGTCATATTGTTCAGCCTTCATGGAAAACGAAGTCATATTGTTCAGCCTTCATGAAAAACACTTTATCCTCGACAGCAGATAAACTCAACACTCCCTCGTCTGCTGAACTATTTGCCCCTTCAAGCACCATAACCGTCTTTGTCCTGGGATATCTTGGTGACTGCCCTTTCTTCACCATTTCTGATTTACCGTTCTGATATTTCTGTCGTGCGTCTTATATGACAGAAAATACGGTAACTTAGAAGTCTCACAATAAATGGTGACTTTGATGGTAGTATCAACACACAGGATATATACACTGTGAGGTGTATATCTCTCATGTACACTGAGAGTTTAATCCCTATTTTAGGTATTAATGACCTTAGTGCAGTCGATAGGCTTTAAACCTAATGTAGAAACCATGTTAAACTTAACTGACACCTTATGTAAATTTAGCTGGCAGCTGATCACTAATCATTCATTCAACAGTCACCAGTTCGGTCAACAATTAACAGTCACATATATAAAGCACGTACCAGAGATGACTGTACACAAGGAACAATGATCACTGATTTAATCATTTACCCTCACGTAAAACACTCATGAGACCAGTATTAAAAGTGAACTAGCCAACAATATTTGTCATCTACGGGAAAAAATAAGTTATATCTGTGCCGTAATTCATCGCTTTGAATTATTAATTATTATCCATTAGCATTACACCTGCATTTCTCAGTCTCTGTAAGACCACGTGAATAATAATATACGAATGGCCTTTGTGAAATATGTGTAAAGTGGGAGCTGCTGTAAATATGTGAGAGCTGGTATAAATATATAGTGGGTGGTCGTGTGAATTATGGAGACTTCTGCAAGGGTGATATAGGCTTCAGGTTGGACTGGTATTTCGAGTTCGGAGGTCGGTGGGTGAGGCTGGAGGTAGGGTTGACGACGTAGATGAGATAGTAGAGGAGGTACATAGTCTGACCATCTACGTAGTGGAAGCTAATGACCTCGTCGCTGAGCTCAGAGTAACCCTGTAGGAAGATACGTCAGGTTTAGTGCTCTAGCGGGGACCTCGACTCCCTCAGTTCAGTCATCAGTGTTCTGGATACACTGAGTCACCTGGATAATAGTGTGGTGATACCTAGGTACAGTTCAGGACATTAGAGGGAACCTTTCCCTTAATATCCTGAACGGTACGTGTCTTTTTCCAAGTCACCGGCAGCCACAGGATATATACAATGAGGTGCATTTCTTTCAGTATATACACTGAGAGGTGAATTTCTTTCAGTATATACACTGAGAGGTGAATTTCTTTCAGTATATACACTGAGAGGTTACTGTGATCCATATGTTTTGGGATAAAAGTATTCTTGACTGATGAAATGGAAAAATAAGATAACGTAATCGGTGCATCAACCTTGCTGGACAGTCTACATAATCTTGGGTAAGTAAGACACATGTCCAACGGTCAGGTATCTTTATACCGAAATGTTCTGCCTAAATACTAAGCTTCTTCAGTCGAGTACAGCCTGCTGTGTAGACGAAACGTTTCGAAGTAAAGATACCTGTTACACATGTGTCTTACCATCCTGCCGATATTTTATATTTTAATATTCACTACAACAACCTAGTTTTTTTCACTATTCTTGACGTGGTGAGCAGGATTGCAGTCTTAATGACCCTCGTGTAGCCGATAGGCATAAAACCCAGTTAATCAATCAAGTTAAACTAAGTTTTCGCTATCTTAGTTAAACTTTGTACAAACCTCAGCACTCTAAGTTTGCATTATTCTAAATGAATTAAGTTTTCAGCCTCCTGGGCATCTAAGTTTAACTAAGTCTCTAAAATTCTATTCAAACATCGTCTAGGTCTTCCTTTTCAAAATGTAGGTTATTTTGAGAAGCCTATATAGCCTGTACAAAGTGGACCTTGGGCCTTATCACAAGTGGGGTTTGAACCTTTGGCAAGTGAATCCAAAAATTCACAGGCCAGTGCGTTAACCACTCAACCAGCTACCTCTAATAAGAGTCATCTAACTAGGCTTCGCTAAGATTCTAAAAACCAATTAACATTACAAAAGCTTACAAACTTATAGGGAAAGACAGATATCTTTTTAAGCCAGAGATGGAAAACGCTGTTCTCCTGACGTGGGTCGACCACCTGTTGAGGCGGGTACATGTGGAACCTCTGTCGACCTGCAGAGTCCCGGGAGTCCAGCAGCTCAACACCTGTCAAGAAACGCATATATTATCTCACTTGTCAGTGTGCATAGCTGTTATTTCGCACAAGTGAGTGTATGTTAGGTAAAATTATAATTATCATAATCAAGGGGAAGCGCTAAACCCGTAGGATTATACAGCGCCGGGGGGGGGGGGATGTGGAAGGCATTCAGGCTTAATTCCGGGAACTGGAGCACAGATCCAATTCCCTAAATCAAGAGCCCCTCACCAACTTCAAGGAACCTTCCGTGAGGGGATGTTAGGTGAAAGCAGTAGCCCTTTCGCTACAGGTACTATGAGGGGCCCTTTATAGGGATCCACTCTTAAATCTCTATCACAAATTAATTACAAAAGTCGACAGTTCAATATATACATAATGTAATAACATACTATAATTACAAACTTACAGCAGTAAATGTGAACACTTTTCACTTAATCTCTGGAGGCCTTCCAGCTGGCGGAGGACCCTGAGCTGTAGCCCCTAAAGCCCATCATAAACGGACGCATGTGCAACTAACTGTGGCAACGTTTCGATCTTCGGGAGCTTTGTCAAGCCATTACAGCTTGACAAATCTGGAGAGCGAAACGTTGCCACAGTAAACTGTCACATTAGTTGCACTTGTGTTCTTTTACCTAACATATTTTTGGTAATTCTACCAACATTATTTCACCTGAGTTTATGCATGGAAAATGAGTGTGTACACTAGGCCACAGACTCATCTACAAATCATGGAACGGGTCGGATTTGAACCCATGGGTTCCAACTCCACTCGCCATGGGTTCCAACTCCACCCGTTCCGTGATTTCTTTACAATCGTGTTATTACGATTTCGCGACTCACCCACAAATGTCAGACACATGGCCATGTTGACATCCTCGTTGGTCCCCAGTTGTAGGTTCTTAAAGCACTGCTCATCCCTCAGCCCCTCCTCCACAAGCCTCCTGACGGCGCCTCGACTTAAGGTGTAGCCAGCACCTCCGTTGAGGTAGGTGCTACCCTGAACACGTGAAACAGGGCTATAGCTGCAATATGAAGTGATTCATGACAGAGTCTGGAACAATAATATATGAATTATGAGACTGCTGCAAAGAGACTTAGCTGAGTTGCTCTTAAATACTTACTTTTAGAGTAAAAGATGTATTAACTAGTCTCTGAGGAATCCTCGTAGCGTCTACTGTATATAAAGTTAAAGTGCTCTTGAGCAACTCTGAGATTGTAGTTATTATTATATATTTGAATGCTCTTCATGGGGAAGTGGAGAAGAATTCTTCCTCCGAAAGTCATGCGTGTCTTAAGAGGCGATTAAAATGCTGAGAACAAGGGGCTAATAACCCCCTTCTGTATAAATTACTAAATGTAAAAAGTAGGAAAACTTTCATTGCTTTTTTTCGTTTTTGAGTCACCCTGCCTTGGTAGGAAAGGGCCATCATGTTGAAAAAAAAAATGCTAAACCCTAAGGGTTATACAGCACTGCAGGAGGGATATGCAAAAGTAACAATGTGTGAAGGTTAGGGGTGAGGGACGAGTGTGCAACGTTAGGGGTTAGTGGAGGGGGAGGGGGCTAATGCAAGAGTAGAAGTGAAATCAAAATTAGTGCAGTAAGTTGGCTTAAAAAGTCAAATAAGAGTGTACGTCAACAGGTGGAACTTTCAGGGAGGAGGCCGGTGAGAGTGCCGGGACGATGTAAACGTCAGAAATGGCTCCTGCTTGACCTCTAGCAGTCAGCACAATCTATTAAGACAAGTTCAACAAACAGTGCCACTTCGCAGTCCTCGCAGAGCGGAGATCCATTACATCCTGGAGGCATTCTTAGTGTTTCCAATATACATAAAGTATCTCACAGTAACCCCGAGGGCCGGTATACAAGGTGACTCACAGTAACCCCGAGGGCCGGTATACAAGGTGACTCACAGTACCCCCCAGGGTGGCGGCATACAAGGTGACTCACAGTAACCCGAGGGCCGGTATTTCAAGGTGACTCACAGTACCCCGAGGGCCCGGTATACAAAGGGGACTCACAGTAACCCCGAGGGCCGGTATACAAGGTGACTCACAGTAACCCCGAGGGCCGGTATACAAGGTGACTCACAGTACCCCCGAGGGCCGGTATACAAGGTGACTCACAGTACCCCGAGGGCCGGTATACAAGGTGACTCACAGTAACCCCGAGGGCCGGTATACAAGGTGACTCACAGTAACCCCGAGGGCCGGTATACAAGGTGACTCACAGTACCCCCGAGGGCCGGTATACAAGGTTGACTCACAGTACCCCCCAGGGCCCGGTAACAAGGTGATCTTACAGTACCCCAAGGGCCGGTATACAAGGTGGGCTCACAGTACCCCGAGGGCCGGTATACAAGGTGACTCACAGTACCCCGAGGGCCGGTATACAAGGTGACTCACAGTACCCCCGAGGGCCGGTATACAAGGTGACTCACAGTACCCCCGAGGGCCCGGGATAACAATGTGACTCAAAAGTAAACCCCCCGGGCCGGTAAAACAAGGTGACTCCAGTAACCCGAGGGCCGGTTTATACAAGGTGACTCACAGTACCCCCGAGGGGCCCGGGATACAAAGGGGACTCATAGTACCCCGAGGGCCGGTATACAAGGTGATCACAGTAACCCGAGGGGCCGGTATACAAGGTGACTCACAGTACCCCGAGGGGCCGGTATACAAGGTGATCACAGTACCCCCGAGGGCCGGTATTTCAAAGTGACTCATAGTACCCCCGAGGGCCGGTATACAAGGTGACTCACAGTAACCCCGAGGGCCGGTATACAAGGTGACTCACAGTAACCCCGAGGGCCGGTATACAAGGTGACTCACAGTAACCCCGAGGGCCGGTATACAAGGTGACTCACAAAATACCCCGAGGGCGGTAAAACAAAGTGACTCATAGTACCCCGAGGGCCGGTTATACAAGGTGACTCACAGTAACCCCGAGGGCCGGTATACAAGGTGACTCACAGTACCCCCGAGGGCCGGTATACAAAGTGACTCATAGTACCCCCGAGGGCCGGTATACAAGGTGACTCACAGTAACCCCGAGGGCCGGTATACAAGGTGACTCACAGTAACCCCGAGGGCCGGTATACAAGGTGACTCACAGTACCCCCGAGGGCCGGTATACAAAGTGACTCATAGTACCCCCGAGGGCCGGTATACAAGGTGACTCACAGTACCCCCGAGGGCCGGTATACAAAGTGACTCACAGTGTCCCAGGTGCGGAGATGGAGGCCTGTGGCTAAAGGTTGGTCAGGATGGAGATGCAGAAGAGCTGCCTGAAGGTTCTCTACCAGCAGGAAGGTGTCGTCATCAGTTTTGATCACAAAGTCGAACTCCTGCCGCTGCTTGTACGCCCATTCAAACCCTGTAGTTAGGTGGGAGGTGTTATTGTAGTACCTGACGATGGTAAGCCCACTGTAACCCTGTAGTTAGGTGGTAGGTGTTACTGTAGTACCTGACGATGGTAAGCCCACTGTAACCCTGTAGTTAGGTGGTAGGTGTTACTGTAGTACCTGACGATGGTAAGCCCACTGTAACCCTGTAGTTAGGTGGGAGGTGTTACTGTAGTACCTGACGATGGTAAGCCCACTGTAACCCTGTAGTTAGGTGGTAGGTGTTACTGTAGTATCTGACGATGGTAAGCCCACTGTAGCCCTGTAGTTAGGTGGGAGGTGTTACTGTAGTACCTGACGATGGTAAGCCCACTGTAACCCTGTAGTTAGGTGGTAGGTGTTACTGTAGTACCTGACGATGGTAAGCCCACTGTAACCATGTAGTTAGGTGGTAGGTGTTTACTGTAGTTTCCTGGGCGATGGTAAGCCCACTGTAACCCTGTAGTTAGGTGGTAGGTGGGTTTCTGTAAGTACCTGACGGGTGGTAAGCCCACTGTAACCCTGTAGTTAGGTGGGAGGTGTTACTGTAGTACCTGACGATGGTAAGCCCACTGTAACCCTGTAGTTAGGTGGGAGGTGTTACTGTAGTACCTGACGATGGTAAGCCCACTGTAGTTAGGTGGGAGGTGTTACTGTAGTGGATTAGCTACCTTGCACCAGCTTGTATTTTGCCCTACTCGGGTCGATCAATTCTGACATTTCAGACACTGCATACTACAACAGGTGATCGATATAGCTCCTCCTAGACCACTGTTGATTAATATTATATTTATTTATTTCTACAAATACATGTACAAGGTATACAGGCCTGGCTGACATTAATGACATACTGCTATATAGAAAGCCCTTTGTTATGCAGAGTATTTCGGTCAAATTAGGTCAGTTTTGTCCCAGGATGCGACCCACACCAGTCGACTAACACCCGTGTACGTATTTTACTGATGCGTGAACAGGGACAGCAGGTGTCTGAAGGAAACACGTCCTAATGTTTCCATCCGCACCGGGGATCGACCCCCGGTCTTCAGTGTGTGAGCTGAATGGGCTAGTGATCGAGCTATTGGTCACCATCCCTTCTAGATTTAGATTCAGCGCAGGTGAGGGGATTTTGGTCTGAGAAACTGGAATTCATTTCTCCCCTCCTTGTCTTCGGATCAAATTCGCATACACAAACACTCACACACGCACCCCCCCCCCCCACTCTCTCTCCTCCCGGAAAATTGAGGTGAACTAAATATTGAATGATTTATAAACAGCAATATGAAGACAAAATATGGATATATGAAAGGCAAATAAATGAATGAGAGACTTTCTATCTGAGGGAAAAGCGAACGCTTATGAGAAGAAAAAAACTCTTGGGAAGATGTCAACTGTGGGGTACCTCAAGGATATGTACTTGCCCTAATAATGTTTTTTAAACTAAATGACTTACCAGACGGAAGAGAAAACTAAATAAATGTTTGTGGGTGATGTGAAGATTTTAGGTGTAATAAATATTGAAAATTACTAGAAATTACTACTAAATTACTTGGATAATTAGAGGGAAAAATAGTGATACATGGTTCACTATATTAATGGTATGCAATATCAACATGTGGATATATTAGAAACTTATACAGCAGCTAGTAATCTTTATTGTCGAAACGTTGCACCTGCTCGGCAGACTTCTTTAGGTGGATGCAGAGGTGATTAAATATTCGTGACAGCAGACACAGTGTACAGGTAAAGATGAGGTCGTAAGTCCAACATTGGAGTAGTTTTGAGGTAGTCAGTCCCTCAGCACTGAGAAATGCTCAACGCCATAGTCTTGATCAATGATTGAGACAATGGAACTGAATACTTCTCGAGACCAATGGACTGACATCGTCTTTGCCACCTCAATACTTTTACTGTCGCCAATATTTAGACACCTCTATATTTGACTTAATACTTAAGCCCTTTTTTTTAAGGAATTAAAGTAATTTTGACAGGGGCTGAACAGGCTACGTGCAGCCTTAATAACCCTCATGCACTCGATAGGCTTTAAACTTCATTAAGTAAACTACACCAGCTGTCACCACCTTCCTCAAGGGAAGGTATGACAGCATAACTGCCATTACAGTCCGTAACTTTGATTAATATACTATTCTCGTTAAGTCAATGTTATATTTGTAATAGTAATTTTTATATTTTTGGCAAATGCATCCATATTTTTTTATCTCTCTTGACTGGTGTCAGCCAGTGGGATATTAGTTACTTATATTATCAGTTTTAAAAGGAGTTTACAAATTAATTTTTTGTAGTGGTTATTCCAGTTTCGTTTCCCTGAACGAAACTCTCTGGGCTTCGTACTAATTTGTGCAACATAGCAAGCTCCTGATGATGTGTTGAATGCAACACGAAAGGCCTAGAGGTATTATTGTTCATTACCCCCCCCCCCTTCCCCGTGGTTGTTTTGCGACAACGGGGGAAGTTGAAAGATTTATATATATATAAAATGTGACTTAATGTCAAGGAGTACTGACCTTGGGTGACCTTATCCCACAACTGATCGTAAGAAGCTGCGCCCGAAGTAACGAGGGTGTGAGGAAGAACAGGGTCAGGGCTGGAGGTGAGAAAGATGGCCCGGGTGCAGTGTGTGGCCCAAGTGGCCGCCACGTGGATGGCCCTCTCCTGGTGGTGGCCAGGAGATGTGGTAATTAAACACAGGATCCTGGGAAAGCCAGCCTTGCCATACTGGTTGCCACTCTTCCTGCCATCCTGACTCCTGACACTGCTGCTGTTACTCCTAGTCTCCTGACGATGCTGTGCAGGTAGTGGACCCTCCGGCAGTAAGGCCAGCAAGTACTCCCTGTATACATGGACCAGGGTTAGGCAAAACCAGTGTATGTAAGGTAAATGACCACAGATACAATTAATGTAACTATTGTGCCTTGACAAGCCTAGTTACAGCTAAACAAACGGCAATTCTACCATCATTATTAAAATTAATTATATATTTCGTAACAACAAACACAAGAAATACAACCAAAAAAACCCAGAAAACCTTTCATAGTTATCCTTCCTAATAAAAACAATAATAATAATAATAATAATAATAATAAAATAATAATAATAATATTATTATTATTATTATTAATTTATATTTATTATTATTTATTATTATAATTGTTATTATTATTAATTATTATTATTAAATAACACTGACTTGATTGTTGTAAAACAACTTGCATATGTTGCATCTATTTCACCTATCACAGTTCATTAAGATCCAAGCAAAAAGGTAGTGGACAGGGCCGCGGGGGCGCTGACCCCCGGAACACCCTCCAGGTACGACTTCTCTCCCTGGTTTCTTCAGACGCAGCATCTCTCGAAGAGAATCACCCCCCCCCCCCCCTCCAATAGATCAACGGATCTACGTTCAATGTTCACCCAGTTTTCTGCTTGATATTTTTGTAAATCTTGACCCGAACAACGAGAACCACATCAGAATGTGCAGTTAGGTACCATGTGATGTGTTCTTTTATTCTGTCATTAGTCCATCATAGTGCCCCAGTTTTATGATATAATTTAATCTAGACAAAAGTTAGTTACAATTATTTTTAACCTTAAAGCTCAATTACACTCACAGTTACTAAAAAAGTAATTAGACTCAGCTTCAATTACAATTATTCCAATCCTGATGATAATAATTTCAGTTATTAGTAATAAAAATTGTCAGATAAAAAAATTATATTTACCTGGTTTTTAAAAGATTTATTCAGCTGGTATAAGTACAGTGATGTATTGGCTGATAGGTAAATGAAAACACGGGTGGGTGGCTGAAGAAATCTTAATAATATAATAATGTGATTGTAAACAAACCACGGAACTGGTGGGGTTTCAACCCATGGTGAGTGGCCTGGAGTTTTACAACTCACTCGATATGGATTGAGACCCCACCCATTGTGTGGGGTCTGAACCCATATCGACTGAAAGAAGACTTACTGGTAGGTGCAGATAACGAGGAAGAGCTGATGTATGAGGATGATGATGAGGCAGGAGACCAGGAGCAGCAGGATGGAGTGTCGAGGACGTCGTCTGAAGATACGACTCAACGCCAGGATACCACGAGTATGTGTTGCCTCCCTCTTGTCCCTACAGTCCATCTCCTCAACTCCACAATCCTCACATTTCTTCATATATCGTACAGCTAATTCCTAGTCTTGTCTACCAGGATGGCTTCCTCCTCTTCTTGTCTGTTTTAGGTATTTTCAACTAGACTTAGTACTCACTAAATCCGTCTTCTGTGTGTGTGCCTCATCCACACACTGTTCACATGTTTTAATCTTTGGTTTGTCATATTTACCATATTCTTCTCTTCCTCGTGTGAGTTTCCTCTTGCTGGTTGAATACTTCCTATTTATGACCTTAATACACTATATCGCTTCCATCCTAAGAAAGAAATTTACTAAATTAAGTTGAATAACTATATAGCGAAGCATAATGTAAATTCTAGATAGGGGGAGAGATTTAGATATATACACTGAAAAGACTTGGTCTTGGCAGAGACTTACCACGATGTGATGCATTGTATATACGTAATTCGTTTTTTTCAAAAAGCTCAGTGGATATTTTTCCAGCTAATGGCGAGACATAGTGAACAATTTGTCTAATGGTGGCGAGTTACCATTGTGTTAGCCAGTTATATGCAGCGTTACTGCAAGGAAATACTCAATCCTAAAAACGAGCCAAGGAAAAATGTTATTAGACTATACTCACCTATATGTACTCACCAGTATGTACTCATCTGTACGTACTAACCTGTACATACTCACCAATATGTACTCACCTGTATGTACTCGCCAACATATACTCACCTGTATGTGGTTACAGGGGTCGATTCACAGCTAGTTGCTACTAGGTCTACCCCCCCCCCTCCATGAGCCTTATCATAACATCTCTTCAAAGTTATGTATGGATCCTGCCTCCACTACTTCACTCTCCAGATTGTTTCACTTCCTGACAATTCTAAGGCTAAAGAAATACTTCCAAACATCCCTATGACTCATCTGAGTTTTCAACTTCCACTTGTGACGCCCTTGTTGCTGTGTCCCATCTCTGAAACATTCTGGTCCTGTCTTACTGAGAATATACAATAAAGGCTTCTGACTTCCCTAAATCTTTGTAACAGTAATTCAGGTTTGTTAAGTATCCTCTATGGACGACATTGGAGCAGTTGCCCGATTTTTTTCTGTTTATTTCGCTTTCTTCTACTCTCCGATTTTATTTCATTTGTAACTCAAGAACCACTCTTCCGATCGGATTCAAATTTTGAACGCTTATGTACGGGAAAGAGGACTAAATTCTAGGCACAACTGACAAGTGCAGGCGCCCTGTAACCAAAGTTATGGGCACCATTCCCAGTATCTTGGAATGGCTCAGATAACTACCAAAAGCCTCAGTGGCTCGGCTTGAAACGTTCATAGAAGCTGCCTCATAATTTATTGATAGCGGAGAGTGAACTTTGTGTGGGGGTAGGAGTGTTGGTCAGGAGAGTGAACTTCAGGAGTGTTGGTGCAGGAGATTGAACTTTCAGATGTTTTGTGTGCAGGAGAGAGAACTTCAGAGTGTTTGGTGCTGGAGAGTGAACTTCAGGAGTGTTGGTGCAGGAGAGTGAACTTCAGGAGTGTTGGTGCAGGAGAGTGAACTTCAGGAGTGTTGGTGCAGGAGAGTGAACTTCAGGAGTGTTGGTACTGGAGAGTGAACTCAGGAGTGTTGGTGCAGAGAGTGGGAACTTCAGGAGTAATGGTGCAGGAGAGTGAACTTCAGGAGTGTTGGTGCAGGAGAGTGAACTTCAGGAGTGTTGGTGCAGGAGAGTGAACTTCAGGAGTGTTGGTGCAGGAGAGTGAACTTCAGAGTGTAGTAGAAGGAGGGAGAACTTCAGGAGTGTTGTGCAGGAGAGTGAACTTCAGAGTGTTGGGCTGAGAGTGAACTTCCGGAGTGTTGGTGCAGGAGAGTGAACTATCAGGAGTATTGGAGTGCAGGAGAGTGAACTCAGGAGTGTTGGTGCAGGAGAGTGAACTTCCAGGAGTGTTTGGTGGCAGGAGAGTGAACTACAGGAAAAAAGTTGGTTGGTGCAGGAGATTGAACTTCAGGAGTGTTTGGTGAAGGAGGTGAACTTCAGGAGTGTTGGGTGCAGGAGAGGTGAACCTTCAGGAGTGTTGTGCTGGAGGAGTGAACTTCAGGAGTGTTGGTGCAGAGAGTGACTTCAGGAGTGTTTGGTGCAGGAGAGTGAACTTCAAGGAGTGTTGGTGCAGGAGATGACCTTCAGGAGTGTTGTACTGGAGAGTGAACTTCAGGAGTGTTGGTGCAGGAGAGTGGAACTTCAGGAGTGTTTGTGGCAGGAGAGTAAATCATCAGGAGTGTTGGTGCAGGGAGAGTGAACTTCAGGATTGTGGTGAAGGAGGGTGAACTTCAGGAGGTGGTTGGTGCAGAGAGTGAACTTCAGGATGTTGGTGCTGGAGAGTGAACTTCAGGAGTGTTGGTGCAGGAGATTGAACTTCATGAGTGTATGGGCAGGAAGTGAACTTCAGGAGTGTTGGTTCAGGAGAGTGAAGCTTCAGATTGTTGGTGCAGGAGAGTGAACTTCAGGAGTGTTGGTGCAGAAGAGTGAACTTCAGGAGTGTTGGTGCTGGAGAGTGAAGTTCAGGAGTGTTGGTGCTGGAGAGTGAACTTCAGGGTGTTGGTGCAGAGAGTTAACTTCAAGGAGTGTTTGGTGCTGGAAATGAACATCAGGAGTGTTTGATGCTGGGAGAGTGAACATTCAGAGTGTTGGTGCTGGATGAGTGAAGTTCAGGAGTGTTGGCGCAGGAGAGTGAACTTCAGGAGTGTTGGTGCAGGAGAGTGAACTTCAGGAGTGTTGGTGCAGGAGAGTTGAACTTCAGGAAGTGTTGGTGCAGGAGAGCGAGGCTTCAGGAGTGTTGGTGTAACAGAGAAAAGGCGAAAGTGTGAACTTCAGGAGTGTTGTGCTGGAGAGTGTACTTCGGTAGATTTTATGGTGCTGTAGAGTGAACTTCAGAGTGTTGGTGCTGGAGAGTGAACTTCAGGAGTGTTGGTGCAGGAGAGTGAACTTCAGGAGTGTTGGTGCAGAAGAGGAAACTTCACGAGTGTTGGTGCTGGAGAGTGAACTTCAGGAGTGTTGGTGCAGGAGAGTGAACTTCAGGAGTGTTGGTGCAGGAGAGTGAACTTCAGGAGTGTTGAGATGGAGAGTGAAACGTTAAGGAGTGTTGGTGCATGGAGAGTGAACTTCAGGAGTCTCGGTGCACCGAGAGTGAACTTTCAGGAGTGTTTGTGCAGGAGAGTGAACTTCAGGAGTGGTTGGTGCTGGAGATGAACTTCAGGAGAGTGGTGCTGGAGAGTGAACTTCAGGAGTGTTGGTGCAGGAGAGTGATCTTCAGGATTGTTGTGCAGGAGAGTGAACTTCAATGATGGTTTTGGTGCTGAGCGTGGAACTCCAGGAAGTTTTGGTGCTGGAGAGTGAAACTTCAGAGTGGTTGGTGCAGGAGAGTGAACTTTCAGGAGTGTTGTGCAGGAGAGTGAACTTCGGAAATTGGTGGCAGGAGATGGAACTTCAGGAGTGTGGTGCAGAGAGTGAAATTCATGAGTGTTTGTGCAGGAAGAGTGAACTTCAGGAGGTTGGTGAAGGAAGGGTGAAACTCAGGAAGTTTTGGTGCAGGAGAAGTGTACTTCAGGAGTGTTGGTGCTGGAGAGTGAACTTCAGGAGTGTTTGGTGCAGGAGATGAACTTCAGTAAGTGAGTATTGGTGCAGGAGAGGAACTTCAGGAGTGTTGGTGGCAGGAGAGTGAACTTCAGAGTGTTGGTGCAGAGAGTGAACTTCAGGAGTGTGGTGCAGGAGAGTGAACTTCAGGAGTGTTGGTGAAGTAGGGTGAACTTCAGGATGTGGTGCAGGTAGAGTGAACTTCAGGAGTGTTGTGGCTGAGAGTGAACTTCGGAGTGTTGATGCAGGAGAGTGAACTTCAGGAGTGTTGGTGCAGGAGAAGTGAACTTCAGGATGTTGGTGCAGGAAAGTGAACTTCAGGAGTGTTTGGTACTGGAGAGTGAACTTCAGGATGTTGGTGGGCAGGAGGTGAACTTCAGAGGTGGTTTGGTGCAGGAGAGTGACTTCAGGAGTGTTGTGCAGGAGAGGAACTTCAGGATGTTGGTGAGGAGTGGTGAACTTCAGGAGTGTTGAGCAGGAGAGGAACTTCAGATGGTTGGGCTGGAGAGGGAACTTCAGGAGTGTTGGTGCAGAGATGAACTTCAGGAGTGTTTTGTGCAGGAGAGTGAACTTCAGGAGTGTTGGTGCAGGAGAGTGAACTTCAGGAGTGTTGGTGCAGGAGAGTGAACTTCAGGAGTGTTGGTGCAGGAGAGTGAACTTCAGGAGCGTTGGGTGCAGAAGAGTGAACTTCGGGTGTTGGTGCAGGAGAGTGAAGTTCCAGGAGTGTTGGTGCTGGAGAGTGAACTTCAGGAGTGTTGTGCAGGAGAGATGAACTCAGGAGTGGGTGCTGGAGAATGAACTCAGGAGTGTTTGGTGCTGGAGAGTAACTTCAGGAGTGTTGGTTGCTGAGAGTGAATTTCAGGAGTGTTGGCGCAGGAGAGTGAACTTCAGGAGTGTTGTGCCAGGAGAGTAGAAACTTCAGGAGTGTTTGGGTGCAAGAGAGTGAAACTTAAGGAGTGATGTGCAGGAGAGCGATGCTTCAGGAGTGTTATGTTGCAGAAGAGTGAACTTTCAGGAGTGTTGGCTGGAGAGTGAACTTCGGGAGTGTTGGCGCTGGAGAGTGAACTTCAGGAAGTGTTGTGCAGGAGAGTGAACTTCATGAGTGTTGGTGCAGAAAGGAAACTTCACGAGTGTTGGTGGCTGGATAGTGAACTTCAGGATTGTTGGTGCAGGGAGTGGAACTTCAGAGTGTGGTGCAGAGATGTGAACCTTCAGGAGTGTTGGTGATGGAGAGGGAACTTAAGAGTGTTGGAGCAGAGAGAGATACTTCAGGATGTCGGTGCACGAGAGTGAACTTCAGGAGTGTTGGTGCAGAGAGAGTGAACTTCAGGAGTGTTGGTGCTGGATATTGAACTTCAGGAGTGTTGTGTCTGGAGAGTGAACTGCAGGAATGTTGGTGCAGGAGAGTGATCTTCATGAGTGTTGGTGCTGGAGAGTGAACTTCATGAGTGTTGTGCTGGAGATGAACTTCAGGAGTGTTGGTGCTGGAGAGTGAACTTCAGGAGTGTTTGGTGCAAGAGAGTGAACTCAGGAGTGGTTAGTTGCTGGAGAGTGAAACTCAGGAATGTTGGTGCTGGAGAGTGGAACTTAAGGAGTGTTTTGGTGCAGGGAGTGACTTCCAGGAGTGGTTGGGGGGTGCAGGAGAGTGAACTTCAGGAGTGTTGGTGCAGAGAGT